TCTGCCTATTCCACCTGAGCCTCCTGGGCACTGTCTGGTCCTCTTCTTGGCTTCCAGGCCCAGGGCAGGGCAGGTTCTGTCCTCAGCTCAGTGCTCCTGCCTTTCCCTGAAGAAGGCTTGGCTGAGCTGATGGCTACCCCCACCACCTCCTCCAACCAGGAGGTTCCATCTTTCTCAGGAAGTCCCCAGGACCTTGAGAACTTCAGGCCTCAAACTATGAATAAATCCCCAAAGACAGGCAAGGCTTCCATAGTCATATTCAATCTACTATTCACCCTGTTATGAAATGCTTCCTACCATTCCATACACTGGTCTGGTGTCTGCACTGGCAACCCTATCTGCGGCATAGTCCATGGCCTATCCGAAGGGCTCAAAAATTCCTACTCTCAAAAATTCCTACCATTGGTCAGCACTAGTTCCTGCCCTCAGGTGCTTACAGTCACTTGAAGGGGGTGTTTAAATGGATTTAGAACATGGAGACAGCCCCCTTGTGAAATGCCAAGTGTTCCCACCACATTTCAAATGTTAACTTTTTAACACTCTCCATAACGTCTGAGAGCATAGGTTTTTGTTTTTTTTTAATTATTATTGCTGAGTGTCTAATGGGGAAACTGAGGCATGTACCTATAAAGTACAGATATTAACATCACACTAGCTTTGTGGAGCAGGCATCTGGATGTGGTTGGGTTGGGTACCTCTAACTCAAGGTGTGGATGAAGCAGGAGATGTGTTTCAACTGAGGATCCGCTGGGAACAGATTTTCTCCCAAGGTCACTCATCTGGCTTTTGTCACTATGCAGTTTGGACTGAGAGCCTAAGTTCCTGCCTATTGGCCTGGGAACTCCCTCGGTTCTCTCCTATGTGGTCTCTACATAGGGCAGGTCAAACCATGGGTACGTGTACGCCTTGTTCCAGAGATATGACAGACACAGACACGGACACAGACACGGACACAGACACAGACACAGACACAGACACAGACACAGACACAGACACAGACACAGATACAGAAATTGAAATGCAGAGGAAGAAAGAGACACCAAGAATGAAACTACCAAAGAATGATGGGACCTGACATGCCATGACTTGGGCTGTACTCGATGTTGTTGAGTAGCCAGATAGTGAGCACTCAATGGACACACAAGGATGTTCCCACCAGGAGGCTGGACTCAATCAAAGCCACTGTGAAAGCTCCCACCACACAGATCCACATGAGACACGTGGACCAATGCTAAGCATAACAAGAGAACACTGTGAGGTTTTAGGCCAGTGAGGGACAATATCTGAATTTCCTGACATTTCAAATCCTTAAAGGTGCAGACTTGAAAAAGAGGCCAAATGAACATTGACTTCCCTGAGATCACACACTGGACCCCAGGCCTGTTTTGTCTAGTACCGGATCCAGCCGGCATCACAGGTCCTGGAGGTAGGGCTAGGAGGTTTTAAGAGAAATAAAGACAAGAGAAAGCGGGACTTCAGGAGGACTGCTAGTCCATGATGAGACTGCAGTAACTTTATTAGTTGCAAGCATACATTTATGAGGCTTTTCTGGGCATTTCTCCAAGTGCCCCTTTCCCGGGACAAGGCTGCCTGACAGCTCCTCAAGACATTCTTGGAAAAGATACATAGAGCAAGCATCTGGCTAGATATCATTGAGAATAGCCTAGCTGAGAACATCCAGATAATTCGTGTATCACGCGCACTCTCTAACAATGGGGCTATGGTCTGCCCTGTCCTTGGTTGACCCTGAAGGCTTAGGGGAGAGCAGGTAGGCGTCCCTACCCTATGCTCCATCCTTGCCCTCGGGCCCCACGGAACATGGCTTCCCACAGTCTAGTGTTCCATGCTATGTCCCACTCATGCTTATCACTCTTCCACCTCTGTGTTTGTTCATCAGATTCATGGGACACCAGCCCACAGGTGTTAGGGGCCTTATATCATCTACACCTGATGACTTCCGGTGTGTTGTGGAGTCCAGACCAAATTAAAATTTAGGGCGCCCTTATTAGCCGGCCAGCAGCTGTTCTCTCTCTACCCAAGGAGATCAGAGAGCAGACCTGACCCTTTGTGCAAGACCACCTTTTAAGCACATTCACTACATCCTGTTTTTGCAGAGTAAGCAACCCAAGACAAAACAGTTTTTCCCAAATAACGTCAGGGCCATGCTATTGACTACCATGTTATTTTCAGGGTTATCCTTTTCTTTAGAAAGCTGACAGTGTTCTATCTTGCAAGGCTATTTTGTGAGGTGCAAGGGGAAGGGGCCATGAGACCATATCTCAAGGCCTGGTCTGGTGTCTGCACCGGCAACCCTATCTGTGGCATAGTCCACAGCCTCTCCGGAGTGCTCAAAAATTCCTGCTCTCTAACACTATGGATATGGTGTCTAGCATCATCCTCATTGCGCAGGTTGGGAGCCTGTGGGAGGCCTTGAGAAGCACAGAGTCTTCCCCAGGACACAGCACACGTAGGAAAATGGAGGTGTGAACACAGCTTTCTCCCCCAAGCAGGGGTCTTATACCTTCCCAGAGAGCTGGGGGAAGGAATATTGGATATTGGTGTAAGGGTATGGGGATAACATGGGTGAAGAGGGTGAGAGGTCACCAGCTCAGAGAGGGCTTAGGGTGACTCTGATTGGAGGAAGGGCCTAGGTCATGGAACCTTGAAGTGGTGACCTCACTGCCTTGGTGACCAATTCCCAACAGAAATTAGAACCGTGGCAACCAGGTCCACACATTCTAGAGACAACTGTCTTTCCAGAGCACTTGCGTGGAGAGGATCAGGAGACTACGATGTCTCTTTGTTGCCTCCCGTTCTTCCGAGGCTCTAGGAAGAAGGAAGTGAAGCGGGAGATATGTGTCTGCGGACGCAGAAGTCGAAACGAGCCCCACCGCCGACTACCCTCCATCTCTGGCAGGAAGACCCGTCTGGTGACTGAGGGCATCCCGGGGAAGGAATATCCTAGCCAGGCCATAAAGTGGGTCCGAGCTAGGAAGGCCCACACTTCTCACTCCTCATCCCGGGTATGTGTTGGTTGGGGTGGTGAGGGTCAGCGTGGGATGAGGGAAAGACATGGTGGGCAGGAGCAGGTGGGTAGGTATTAGGAGCCTAGAGGCTTTGTCATGCTCATGGCCTAGGTCATGGCTCACAGGAAGGGAAGCTGAGTGTTGGGGATGGACTCTACTAACCACTAGTGAATGGGGGTCCTCATGGGATCATCTCAAACTCTCCCTGTCTAGAGGTCATTGCAAATGCCCCTGTCTGCCTGATCTGGGGTAGAATGGGTGGTGGGCATCTCCCCCACTGGTAATGCCAGGTCTTGAGCTTCCTGGCCGGGCACCAGGCTCTGTATTTGCAGAGCTCCAGCCATAAAGTCGTAGAGGAGAAGGTTGACAGGATCATTGATGCCAGCAATGGGCACAGAGGACAAGTGTATGAAGCCAGGAAATCCGTCCAGTGCCAAACTGAGGTGAGAGGTGGTCCACAACCCTGACCCTGAGGTGACCTGGGAGGGACCAGAACTCACACTCATATCTGGGGCATCAAATTTCTCACAGATCCACTCCCAAAGGGATCTGTTCCTCCAACCCTCCTGACCAGGTCCCCAGTAGGAAAGAAAAACAGTCTTTGTGTGTTTCTAAGGCTCACAGTGAAAACATTTTTGTTGTATTTGCATTTTTCTCATTTCAAATGTTTAACTTCCTGCCCCAAGTATCCTATGGACCAAAACGTCGTAGAAAAGCAGGTTGATAGGTTCAGTGATGCCAGCAACAGGTACAGAGGACAAGTGTATGAGGCCAGGAAATCCGTCCAGTGCCAAACTGAGGTGAGAGGTTGCCCACAACCCTGACCCTGAGGTGACCTGGGAGGGACCAGAACTCACACTCAAATCTGGGGCATCAAATTTCTCACAGATCTACTCCCAAAGGAGTCTGTTCCTCCAACCCTCCCGACCAGGTCCCTAGTAGGAAAGAAAAACAGTCTGTGTGTGTTTCTGGGGGTCACAGCGAAAACATTTTTGTTGTATTTGCATTTTTCTCATTTCAAATGTTCAACTTCCTGCCCCAAGTATCCTGTGGACCAAGCCCAGCTCAGATGTTCTGATAGAGTTTCTCCAAACCTTACACATCTTCCCACTAGATAGTGCAGTGTATTTGGGGGGGGGGGGCGAGGGGGCGAGCTGGGGAGAGAAGGGATTAAATTAATGGATACTTTCTCTGTAATCTACCATCCCACAAAACATGGCATTCCATTGAAGTGTGCCTGGTCAGGAGCTGTGGCCTTACCCATTTCCATATCGTCCCATCCAGGAAGTCTTTTTCCTCAGTGATTCAGACTTTCACTGTTGTTAGACCTTGTTGTGAGTCAGTTCTTGCTGGTTCAGCAGGGCTGTTGGGAACAACCCCACTGGGTCCTAATAGACTGTAGGAGTGTGCCAGGACCACGGATGTGATGGAAGGTTCCTGAAGCCTCCTTGTTCAGTACCCGCTCTGTCTTTGCAGACTTCTAAGGTGGAATTCACGGAGATAGTGGCCCTTTGGCCTAGCTATACCACCTACCAAGTCAGGGTGCAGGTGAACCAGGCCGATGGCACCGTCCTGTATCTGTCTGAGGTGAGAGCTGGCTCAGGGTGGTCTCTATCTTCAGCACCTCAAGATGTCCAGGGAGGGTTGAGAATCCAGACTTCTATCTACAAACTCCCCCAGGGCCCTCCCAGGGCTTTCACACTAGGGTGTCCACAGTCCCATGACAAAGCAATGTGGACCTCCAATCCTCTCACCAGCTACAGGAGAGAATGGAAAGACACACCTCACATATTTGTGGGAATTTTAAAGGGAAAAATATGTTGTTTACCTCACAGTAGGCCAAAAACACATGTATATTTGCTATTCTGTGCTTGTAACTACCTGCCCCAGGTAACCTGTGGAGCAGTCAGCTCCACTGTCCTTGTAGACCTTTCTCTAAGCCTCATCATCATCGCACTTGACTGAGTGGTCTCTCAAAAAGATGGGAGGAAGCAAAGTTTTGGATACTTTTCTCTGCAACTTGTCATCTCACAGAGCAGGACAAAACACCCTACACCCCATGGTCAGGAGTTGTGACCTACTCACCTCCAAATCATCCCATAAAGGATGCAGACTTCCTCAGGAATACAGTCTTTCAGGGTTGTTGACCATGACATGATGCAGAGGTGCAGGTCTGCTGGAACATCCTCACCATGTCTGAATAGACTGTCTGTTTGTCTGGGCTGCCAGATGTAGACTCACCGATTGGGGTGGAAGTTTCCTGAAGCCTACTGGCCCGATAACCGGGCTTTGTCTTTCTAGAGCTCCAACCAGGACAACACTAAAGGGCTGGTCAAAGGGTTCAACTACTCGACCTCCTTCGGACTGGGCAAGTTGCATCAGGCCACAGACAATATCCAGCGTTGGACTCAGGTGAGAACTGGCCTTGAGGGTCTTTACACCCACAAACCTGAGATAACCTGGCAGTGTCCAGAACCCGGACTCAGAGCTGCGGACCCTGGAGGCTATTCCATGGCTCTCCCTGGCCCGTGCCTCAGCCCCATGACAAAGGAATCCAGGCCTCCACTCCTCCCTTCAGTTACATGGGGGAGTAGAAAGATGCCCCTCACATTCTTGTGGAAAGATGAGAGTGAAATTATATGGTTTCACTTTAGAGGAGACCAGGAGCACATTTGCATATCAGTTTTTGTTGTTTAAACTACCCTTGCCAGGATCCTGGGGAGCAGTCACCTCCACTGTCCTTGCAGACCTGGACCAATAATGGAGGTCATTTTCCCAGCGATGCAGCCCTTCAGTGCTGTTGGACATGGACCTGATTCACTTCAGCTGCCATATCAGCAGTGCTACCCGAAGCACTGAAGTGTGTCGGAATGGACTGTGTTAGGTTGTTCGGGCGGCCGTAACATAGGACCACGCTGGGTGGTGTCAGCAGCAGACATTCCTTTTCTCACTATTCCGAAGGCTAGGAGTGAGACAGGAGGCTGTCAGCAGGGCTGGTTTCTCCTGAGGGGTCTCTCCTCAGCTTGTAGATGGCTGTTTTCTCCCTGTGTGTCACATGGAATCCCTTCTGCACTGCCATGTGTCCTCCCCTCCTCTTCTAAGGACACTGGTCACACTAGATGAAGACCCTCACCACTGAGTTCACTTCACCTCATTACTTGCTTAAAGACCAAAACTCAAATGTGGGCCCATTCTGAATTTCTAGGGGTCCCAAAGTTATGGAATTGAAGGGACACGTTCTGATCTCAATATGTACCACCCCCCTCTGGAGATAGATGCCCACTGCTGGTGTAAAGACATCCACATGTAAAATGTAATGGCTGCAGGCAGATTCCAAACCCAAAGGGCTGTAGCAGTGATGGTGTCGATAGCAGTTTCTGATGATGGCTGCTGCCTTGCTCTTAGCCTGGCCCTGGGATTTCTCCCTCATTGAAATTTTCACCGGTCCAATGTCAAGTTGCTCAAGGCAATTGCAGTGTTCCTTCATTGGCAATTGCCTCACAGGGACACTGAGTCACCTGTCACTTTACACCCACCACTTGGAATTGCTGGCTCTCAAGTCTCTGCTCAGATTCATGCCTGAGGATCACCCTCCTTCAGTTGGGAGCGTGCAAGCATTTGTTGCTTTGCAGAATCCGGGATCTCCAAAAATGAGGTTCTTAAAATGCTCTTTAATATAAAAGGATGAAACAAAACTGTATTTTTTGAAGTCAATGTTGTCATAGACAACTGTCCCCACAGATGGGATTGCCACCACTTTGCACTCATGTTGGGAGAACATAAGTCTCAGGTAGCTGAAAAAGAATGTCATACAGGACAGTTCACAGTTCAGCCCTCATGACTTGAGAAGACATGTGCCATGCCTAAGCCTCTGTGTTCTCATCTCTATAATGGGGGTGTTTCCTTAGGCCTCATGGGGACAATGCTCCTCATACAAACTATTAATGCATGGAGGGTTGTTTTTCCTAAGCTAAAACAAATGAGCAAAAAGCAAGAAACATGCCTATAAGGTCACAATTTTATGAACACCCCTCCACCCACAAACTTAAGTGGAACTTTGAAAACCTAGAACCTCATTCAGCCTGGTCACTCCTGTCTCTCCTCTTGCACACATTCCTGAGGGTCTGGGACTCCTGTGTGAGCTCCAGGCCTCCATCCTCCTGGGATTCTTGGTGATGCCACTGACTGGATGTCTCACCTTATTCCACACAGTGTGCCGCTGAGTTAACTCAGAGACTTCGTGAGGCCTGCAGGATGCGGGCCCTCCAGAAAAGCACCTTGGAGAAAGTGGTGGGGTCCCTGGTCCCTGCTTTCCCCCCTGGAAACATCCCCCACGTCTGCACCCTGATGCCCATCCACCCGGCCTTCTCCAGGGCCCAGTGGTTCCTGGAAGATCTATTAACACGGTGAGCGTTGGTCCCCTCTTCACTGCAGTGGGGACTCTGCCCACTGCTATCTGTGTGTCTTAACAATGTCTGAGCCTCAGAATATTCCTCTGGAAAGTGGGGTGGTACAGTGTCAACCTCATAGGGCTCTTTTAGGCACTGATGTAGGGACAAGCAATGGCAGCGCTTACCTGCTTCCTGGCTCGGCAGAAAGGGCTGCTGGACCGGCTATGGTTGTTCATGCCACTTATTTCTCTGTGTCCCATAGAAAGTGCCCTGAACCCCCATCAGCGGCCTGTGGCATCTGATTTTCGAAAAGCAGTGGGAAAAAACCTGTCAAGCAGTTTGAGATTTCACCAGCTGATCTTGTCCTGGTCCTTGGTGTAGCCACATGAGATATAGCAGGGGATAGAAGGGTCCCAGGCTCACTTAGATGGCTTAGATGGTTCTGGTTGGATCTCATTTAATTAACAATTTCCCTAAGCTCCTACCACAGGCAGGCACTTTTGGAGACACTTAACCTGACTCAAAAAATGAAGCAGATACAATCACTGGCCTCTGTTCTAGTCACTAAGTCAGACAGTCACACTGTCCATCATTCACAGGTCCTGTCCGCCAGCCATCAGAGCTGATGCCATCAAGGTGTTTGCTGCCTCTGGAGGGATACCTCTGCATAACGATCAGGGTGACACACCGCAGGAGCAATTAGCAAAGTGAGTGTTCTGTGGGAGCAGAAGGAGGGTTTCCTGTGTTAGTGGAGTGGGTACTTAGGAAGGGCAGGGTTTGGCAGATCCCCAATCTTATACATCTTCTGATTCCCAAGGGAGGCCTGAGCTCTGATGGCTCCTCCGCAAAGAGACATGAGTCAAACAGGACAGTGGATGGGGTCCCTGGCCTTGTTGACCCAGAGTGTAGGCTGGGCTGAGTTGACCATCAGAGTCCCATCCCCCCACAGACCCATCCTGCTCTGCCTGCCGCTCTCCACATCCATCTTCCCTGAACCCCACGGGCGGGCTCAGAACAGGATGATGGTGAGCAGGCAGCTCAGGAGTCTCTCTCAGTCCTCAGCCCAGATGCCCAGGGGTATGGAGGGTTGGGGTGGGCAGCGTAAAAGACCTTCAGGAGAGCTGCCAGTGGGAAGAAGAGTCTCACACAGACTCCACGTTAAACCTGCTATTTCCACAAATGCTCCAACCATGACAACCACACAGGTGGCCAGGGTTGGCATGGGATTCTCTCTGGATGGGGAGGGGTCTGCACAGAGGCTCAGTCCTAAATAAGGGTGTCATGGGAGGGCAGAGTGGAAGGAAAGACCAGGACTCTGACTTTATTCCCCACCTGCCTCTCCCCAGGGCCACCGCTTCTGTGATGGGAACCTGGCCAGACCTCATACAACATTTTGGCCAGCCCCTCCTTTTCCCTGGGTTCATCGTGAAGCAGGCCTTGGTGCTGCACAGCCTCCCTGTCAAACGCCCGGTGGGCCTCGTAAGAAGTCTTTGGGTGGAGTTGCAGCAACAGGAGCCTACAGAGGCCCAGTGGGAAGGTGAGGGGACTATAGTCTGGGAAGAGGACTGGGTGAGTGGGGTGGGGGGTGGGGTATTTCATGGGACAGTCTTCCATTAAAGACAGTCACATCTTTCCTGTGTGTGGAAATGCATGGGAAAGTGAGGCATGTGCAAGTACCTGTCTCTTTAACCTGCTCTACGACCACTTAAAGAGCTCAAGCACACCCAAGAGCCAGAGGAAGGACCCGCTCCTGGGCTAGAGCCCAATCCGGGTGTGATAGTGCTGGAGCCTTCTGGACCACCAGCTCTGATCCGAGAGCCAGCTCCATCCCCAACAACCGACTACCTCATGGCTGTGACCCTTAAGCACCATAGAAGGGAGGAGAGGCTTCGCCTCCTGACCTTCCCTCCAAGACTGGTGGCCGAGCAAATAACAGCGATGGATGCAGTGAGTCTTGGTCTTTCAAGGTGGGAGGGACAGGACTTTCCTCTGCCCTTGGCTGCCCAACCTGCCTTTCCCTGATCTCAACTCCTATGATCTTGATGCAAATCGCAGCTCAACCACTTTCTCACCCATGGGTCCTGGACAACTTTCTCAACCCCCAAGCATTGCTGTCCAGCCAACTCGGTGGGCTGTGGAGGTGGGCACCCCAGGCCCTGCTGCACAGAGTGGCTGTGCAGATTAAATGAGGGAGAGGAGACAGAAAGCTGGGTGGGGCGTGGCCAGGATTGTGGGGAGGGGAGCTCTCTGTGTGCAGCCAGATCCATGGGTCACCCATTTATAAGTCCATAGGCTCAGCAGCCTCAGCACTTATCAGACCCCAGATGTGTGTTTAACACCAAGTGAGATAAACAGCTGTGGTTGTAGCTGTCACAAGGGAATGTGTACTGAATGGGGAATTATTCCAGAGGGATGTCAGATGCTGGGAGATGCCCTTTTGGGGTGAGCAGACATAAGCCTCTTCCTGGAGCTTAGAGTCCCTGAGGATGGGCTGGAGTCAGATGCTACTGTCCCTTCCCCCACCAGTCTTGGGCCCTGGATCATCCCATGCTGGGCGCCCAGGGTGGACAGAGAATGAATCTCATGGACTCCAAGGCTCAGGCAAATCCACAGCTTCCTGAGCTTCAGTTTTGACTAGTGTCTCTTTCAGGGACTGGGAACCCTGAACTGGGTGGTGGCAGGGCTGGGTGACACTCCCCTTTCTTCCCAGGAGCTGTTCAAGAAGGTGCTGCCACACCAGTGCCTGGGCTCCGTCTGGTCACAGAGGACTGAGCCTAGAAAGGGGCACATGGTATCCACTGTCAGTGCCACTGTATTACAATTCAACCACGTGGCTACTTGTGTGATCACCACCTGCCTTGGGGACCCAAGCATGACGGCCCAGGACAGGGCCAAAGTGGTGGAGCACTCCATTTAGGTGGCCAAGGTATGTTAGGGGAGGCCCAGCAGCATCCCTGTGGGGATCCTTGAAAAATGCCTCTGCTGCCCAGACAGCTCTCAGGACTGAGGACAGAGATCAGAGCCTCAGCACAGCCCCAGGTCCCCTCTGCCAGGCTCACTCAGATTTTGTCTCCCCCGTCCCTGTGCTGGGAGGTTCACTTTGTTCTTGGCTCCTTCCTTGATTTGATTTGGGATCTTCCTCATTCTGAGAGTTGGTATTTGGGTGCTAAATGTGCCCACCCTGAGCATCTGTCCTATCAAGAGGAGCAGCCAATCTAGGGTGCCTGAAGCTACAGCACATGTCTCACAGCACATGTCTCCTCTTCCCCAGGAGTGCAGGACCCTGAGGAACTTTTCCTCCTTGCGTGCCATCCTGGCTGCTTTGCAGAGCGTGTCCATTCATCGACTGCAGGAGACTTGGGGGAAAGTTTCCAGGTGCGTAGGCCTCTCCCATCACAGCAAGCCTGCTAATGTGTCTCCCATATGTCTCCCAGTGTCCCCTCACCTCCTGGGAGGCAGCCAACCCTGGGGACAAAGACTGGTCTTGTGGGCCGGGTCTCTAAGGCTCTCTGGCTCCTTAGGCCACTAAGTCTTCTTCAGGAGTCAGTCCCCTTCAATCTCAGACACTGCATTGATCCAAATGGGAGATTTTCATGTTTCCAGTACCAGAACCCTATGCCCAGTTGAAACCCAAACTGATCAAAACAGAACTTCTCCTTCGATATGGGAAGGGGTCCCAGAGACCATCATGAGAGTCCTACCCCAGTCCCACGGAGACCCTCCTGCTCAGAGGAACCCAGTGATACCCTCACCAAGGCAGTACAAAACATGAGATTGTTTAAAGGAATTTGCTGTTAACCCCTCTCGCCAATTTTTCCTAATCGTGCCTTTCCTCTTTCCATCTCTTCAGGAGGCACACAGTTGCCATTAAAAAGCTGTTCAAAGAGGACAACTCCCGAAGCAGGGAACAGTTCATAAAGGTAGAGTGAGCCTGGACGTCTGCAGAGAGGAGGCCAAGAGGGATGGGGAGACTGCACAGGCTGTGGCTTTGGTAGTTTGTCACTTAAAGGTTCCCTGGAAATGTTCACCCTCTAGGTCCCAATTACCAGGAAGAGGGATCTCCTTGGTCCATGTGCAGGTGGAACAAAAGAGCTGCTTGGCCTCAGGTCCCACTGGCTGGATCAGAGACAGAGGGGTGTGCTCTCTGAGACTTCCTACTGGGCCCCTATAGCACTTGCTGCCAGTCAGTCCCCTCCTGATTGACATGCAGGGGTGACCATCTGTGATGCAGGCCTCACAAAGTGGTCACGATTTCAGGACAGGAAAGATCTGTGCAGAGCTCCCTGCGCTGTCCTACCTGGAGGGTTGAGGGTGAGAACAATGATGACAGGAATGACACTGAGTCCTCAGGAGAATCTGTGAGCTAGGTGGAAGTTACCCGCTTTCAGAGGATGGATGGGTTAGGGAGGTCAGGCCCAGGCCTTGGTCAATCACAGCGAGTGAGCATTGCAGCTGAGAGGCATCCAGAATCAGAGCATGCTGGAGTCAGTGTGGCACTGGTACCAGCTGACTTGGGTCAGATGTCCAGGGTGTGACGTCAGGAGTGGTGGGGAAGTGGGGTGAGGTGAGCATGAGCTCAATGACTCTGCCATCCACCCTGCTGGAATCAGTCCTCCAGGTTTGCCTCTATGATGCTCTACCTCCGAGGATCCAGGAAGGGGCTGTACAAGAAGGTGAGTGAGCCTGTCTGGGGAATGCTCCGTGGACAGAGCAGAGGGTGTTTGTGCTCCCCACTGGAGGCTTCCAAGTCAAGAGAGGGAGGCTTTCTTCCTCCAGCCCCATCTCCTGTGCCCACAGAACCTAAAACTCTCCCTTAGACATGACCAGGAGGAGGGCCTGGGGAAGCTGAGTGTAGGATGCACGTGGGCGTAGGTATTGCCTAAAGGAGATCCTGGGAGGTGACCAAGAGGGGTTCCTGCAGATGAGGGAGGAAGCAATTGAGTGGAGGCCCTTAGGCACCTGGGCTATTCCACATGAGAACCCTGAGGTGGTCGGGTGGCTGACAGCGGGAGGCTTTCAGGAGAGGGCCCGTGGGCACCAGAGAGAATGGACTGATCCCACCCTCACCCTGTTTGCCCAGTGTGTTCCCTTCCTGGGAGAATACCTGACTCTTCTGCACAGGATGGACGCGAGCATGAAGGATGATTTGGAGGTTGGTAACTGGGGCCTGAGCTGGGGTGACCAAGATTGACCTTGGGGGACAGAAAGCCCCATACTGAGCCCTTACTGAGTTCTCAGCACAGTCTCCCCTTGGAGCTGGAGTGACAGGCTCATCATAGCCATCTGTTACACCTCCTCTGGAGCCAGAACCTAGCCTTGATCCAAGTTCTGTCTTTTCCAGTTTCCCAACCCCTCCTGGGTCTTGGTGGTAGTGTAACATGCAAAAGATGGGCACAAGGGTTTCTTTCTGATGGACCTTAGATGTCTGCCTTTTAGGGGGAGTCAGATTAAAATAGGAAAAGAAAAAAAAAAAAAGAAAAGAAAACCTGAGCCGCTGGGCACCTCCTGAGGAGCAGGGAGGGGAGTGAGAATCAGAGATGCCCTGGCCAGCACACACAGGGGCTTCACCTCCTGCATCTTCCATTTATTGAGAGATTTTTGATAACGAAAGGGGGAGAACCCTCAATTTGATGGCTGAGGGCATGGGAGTGGCATCAAAGATAACCTTCTATAAGAAGGGCTGTTGATGGCCATCTCTGAGCATAGGAAGTGTCTGGGTGGAATTAGGTGGAAGCAGGATGCCCCTGTGTTCAAAGATTGAGAGCTGTGCCCCTGCTCCACTCTGCACTCGCACTGAGGCAGTTTCTGCATCCTCTCCTTCCCTCTGGCCCCAGGTGGATAAAATACTGCAAGAAATAGTGGTGCTGCAGGAGGCTGCCCAGAACTATAAAATACAACCTGAGAACAACTTCCAGGCCTGGTTCTGGGCCCTGAAGCGGCTCAGTGAGCATGAGAGGTGAGGCCGGGCAGGATGTGGGCAAGAGCAGGAGTGGACGCTTTCTGCTGGTCAGTCCAGAGAACCATTGTCCATGGCTCCCTGATCCCGCACAGACCTTGCTGTGTAGCAATTCCTGGGGCTCCTGACCCTGGGAGGGACACCAGAAGCCTGGGAGCTCACAGGTGCCACTCTGTCCTGCAGTTACATCCGGTCCTGCCAGCTGGAGCCACAGTCCTAGGTGACCAAGAAAAGAGATGAAACAACTTCATTGGTTTCCTGTTATGTGGACATTATTCTGGATTTAGAGACTAAATGGGAAATATACCTATTTTCCCTAATATATATAATAATAATCCCATGTAAATATACCCTTAACTATAGTTAAACATAAATTTTTATTATTTTTGTGTTTTTTAAATATTTACCAATATTAAAATTATTTCTGCAAAATGATTTCTAGTATCTTTCTCCTGCTTCGTCATAAATTATATAATTCGGCCATAGTTAATGGACTTAATTTTTTTTCTTCTCTATTTTATGAATAACTCTTTGATGACAGCTGTTGTATAGGTACCTCTGAACATTTATGCGATTCATTTTGAATCATTTCCTGCAAATAAAATTTGTTTCAAAAAAGCACATTTGATATTTTAATAAGTATGCATTGTGAATCATTTCATCAAATTCCCTTGCAATATTGATTGGGAACTCTTCAGCTTAGTAGATTGGGTTAAGAGGAATTCATTCCCTGGCCCCTTTCTGAGGTATGTGTTGAGCACCTCCTATGGGCCAGGCACTAGAAGCACAGTGCTCAACCCAACAGAATGTCCTGATGGCATGTTTGTATGAAAGAGTCAAAGCAGCCAGCACATGCATACAGTGAAATCAGAATGCATGCTCTGAACAAAAAGTAACGCAGAGAAAGAGATAAAAGCTTAAGAGGTAATGTTGTGTGTAGGATGTTGTGAAGGTTTGTGGGATGGAGGTGATAGTTGAGGCTGCTTTGGGCATATGCATAGATGACCAGCAATGTGGAAACATCCCAGCTGAGCCCCCAGTTTGGGCTCTGGTTGCAAAGTGCTCTAGGTAACTCCTGATCTGAGGGAGAATGTGTATCCAGCCTCATTCTTCACTGAAGGGAGGACAGAGCACCCAGCCCCTAGCCTGTCCAGACCCCTTTCCATGAATTAACCTTTCATTGTGGTGCCTATACTTACTTTACTGCTGTTGCTCCAGTTTGTCATCTTCCTGTAACAAAGCATAAGCAGCAGGTATTTCTGTGTGCCTGGCCCTTAATTATAGAAGGGCAGTGCACACTGTTTAATTCCAAATTCTATATGGGCCACGTGATTTGCAACAGAGCCTTCCTCCTGTCTTCCCATTTCTTGGAACCACACACTGAATAAGGTCTCTCCCAAGCATCAGCTGTGTTGCCCAGGAAATTACAATTGCTTCTTGGGCTTCCCTTGAGATTTAGGGCATTTGAGTTGATTCTCCTATAAGCACCACCGCAGCCCCCAGCACACTGCAAGAACTTGGCTCTTTTATTTCCATCATAGTGCTCCCACACTGAATTGAAAACAATATGTCTAGGGGCTTAGGATGTGTTGTGTTGGAGGGTCATTATATGGCAGTGAACTAAGAGTTATGACTAAAAAAGAGTGAAGGAGGTACAGTGATGCAGGTACTAAAATCATCAGAGATGAGAGGGGGAATTAGGGGTCTGTGGATGATCACAGTCAGCAGGGTTGGAACAGTCTAAGAACATAACTGTCTCTATGTTGCCCTCCATCTCCTGGTGAGTCATATGGAGGCGTGACCATTCCATGCTGCAGGCCTCACAGGGTGGTCAGGAGTTCAGGGCAGGAAAGGACTGTGCAGAGCTCCCTGCCCTGTCCCACCTAAAAGGCTGAGGGTGACAACAATGATGACAGAATGACACTGAGTTTACAGGAGAACCTGTGAGCTAGGCGGAGGTCACCCTCTTTTCAAGGTGGGAATGGGTCAGGAAGGTCAGGCCCTAGCTCACACACACCGAGTGAGCGTTGCAGATGGGAGCCTCCAGAACCAGAGCATGCTGAAGTCTGGGTGGCACTGGTACCAGCTGACTTGGGTCAGGTGTGGTGGGGGTAATGGGTGAGGTGAGCATGACCTCATTGAACCTGCCCTCCACCCTGGCTGAAGCCAACCTCCACGTGTGTCACTCTAATGCTGAACACCCGAGGTTCCTAATAGAGGCTACAGAAGAAGGGGGAGGAGCCAGTCTGGGGAACACTCCAGGGTCAGAGGAGAAGGTCTCTGTGTTCCCAGCAGGAGGCTTCCAAGTCAAGAGAGGGAGGCCTTCTCCTCCAGCCATGTCTCCTGTTTCCATGGAACTTGAAACCCTCCCTTAGAAGTGACCAAAGGGAGTGCTTGGAAGAGGTCGGTGCAGGATGGATATGGGGTTGGGGCTGGCCCTTGACCACTGACCTTGTGAATTGTCCAAAGGAGGTCCTGCGGGTGATTATGAGGAGTCTTGGGGACTGAGGAAATGGACAATTGAGGGAACTCCCTTAGGGTTCTGGGCTGTTCCACATGGGAACCCCAGGTGGGGATGGGGGTGGGGCAAAAAGCTGAGGGTAGAAGGTCTTCCGTGGAGGGTTTGTGTGTCACCTGAGAGTTGGGCTCATCCTACCCTCACCCTCTTTATCCACTGTTTTCCCTTCCTTGGCAAATTTCTGATTGACCTTGTAGATGTTGGACACTAGAACGGAGGATTATCTGGAAGTGGGAGACTTAAGACCTGACCTGGGGTGACCAAGATTTACCTTTGGAGTCACAGAATCCACATATTGAACCCTCAGTTCTCAGCAGAGCCCCCCTGGGATCTGGTGCAACCTGTCCATCAAAGTGATCTGTCCCCTTCCTCTGCATCCCAGAGCCTGGCCTAGATCCAAGTCCTGTCTTTCCCTGTTTCCCACCCCCTCCTGACCTGGCAGTTGTGCACCATGAGAAGGTGGGCATAGGGGGCTAGTCCTGGCCAGAAGGCTCTTTCTGATGGACTGGGCTGTCTGCCTTCCAGGGAAGTTGGATCAATCTAGAAAAAAAGGAGAAGGTGAGTAGCACCTCCTGAGGGGTAGGAGAGAGGAGTGACTATCAGGGATGCCCTGGCCAGCACACTCCTGGGCTCCATCCCCTGCATCTTCCATTTATTGGGAGAGTTTGATAACAGAAGTGGGAGACCCCTCCAGTTGGTGTCTGGGAGTAGGGGGTGGCATCAAGGATAATTTCCTGGAAGAAGGGCTGTCGGTGCCCACCTCTGAGCACAGGAAGGGCCTGCATGGAATCAAGGGGAAGGGGGGTATCCATGTGTGCATAACCCAGGACCAGGTCCTTAACCCCTACCCTCACATCCGGCTGTGTCTGTGTCCTGTCCTTCCCTCTGGCCCCATGAGCAGAAAATAATGGAGGAGATAGTGCTGCTGCAGGAGGCTGCCCAGAAATATAAAATAGAGCCTGAGGAGCAATTCGGGGCCTTGTTCTGGGCTCTGGAGCACCTCAGCAGGGAGGGGTGAGTCTGGGCAGGAGTTGGGTGAGGACAGGTTTGGACCTCCCTCTTGGTCAGTCTGGAGAACCTGTGTCCTTGGCCCCCTGGTCCTCCCCAGACTTTGCTTGTAGCAATTCCTGGGGCTCCTGACACTGGGCAGGACACCTGAGGTGTGGCTTCTGGGAGCTCACAGGTGCACTCTGTCCTGAAGTTACATCCCATCCTTCCTGCTGGGTCCCCTGTCCTAGGTGGACAGAAGAACACTCAAGGCCAAGTACATTGGGTGTCAGTGAGTATCCAGGTGGGCAGTGCAACCTTTTCGTCACCAGCAGGGCCACTGCTGGATCCTCAGGAGACAAGACCACTTCCTCTGCTCTAAAAGGAGGAGCACTTGGGACTCTTCCTGGTGAGCCCTGAAAATCAGGAGGGAAGGGAAAACACCCCCACCTTTCTCACAATTCTCCCAAGACCTCTTTTTCCATGGGAGGGGCAGCAGGATTTGGTCTCTTCTTCTGCAAAAGTCTCAGGGCTGGACTTCTGTGAATTTGCACCATTTCCTCTCTGGCTAGGGGAATGCAGCTTCCCTTTTGACAGAAGTCTGCTTCTTGAACTGGAGCTGAAACACAGATGATGTCTAAGAAGATGGACAGAGCAGACCAGTGCAGCTCAGAGGGAAGCAGACCAAAGCAGAGCTGTCTAGCCAGAGAGGGGCCTGAAAGTATTCTTGTTGTTATGTGCTGACATGTGTGAAGTGTGTGAGGCAGGTCCAGCAGATTAACAACTCTGCAAAATCTCATACTGTCATATGAGGCAGAATTTCTAATTTACCAAGAAACCTTAATTTTTACTCTTAAGCATTTCAGCTGAGGAACATACCCACCGCCATTTCCAAGGATAATGACCTCCAAAGTCAACTGATTGCGGATGTCTTTGATCAAATAACTGGGTACCATAGCCCAGCCTATTTGACACACAACTCTCATCATCACAAGTTGCAGGAATTCCTCATCTCTGTGAAGCA